ACACCCAAAATAAATGTAAAGGTTAACGTAAGAATTGCAAATGCGAGGCAGGGAAAAGAAACACTTTTTCCAATTGAGAACAATCTAAGTGAAGTCCTTTAATTATTGCCATCTAGAGTGAAGGTGAGTGCCGTTTGGCTCAGAGCTCACTTGTTGCCCATCAGTCCTGACTTGAGCTGCCTTCCACGGTCATGTGTCCAGACTCCTTCGAGTAATGTAGTAAATGTACATAGTACATCACACACTGCAAAGCTCTACCTCAAAATGGATCCCTGAATGGTGTTCAGACCAAGTCGGAGGTAAGGAGGTTGGGAAACATTAGCCCACTTTATCGATAAGGAAACGGTCTAGGTAGGAATCCAGCGACTTCTCCAAGGTCACTAAGCTCAAAGTCACAGAGCCAGGACTAGAATTTGAATCAGGGTCTAAATTCCATAGCTTAGGCTGACCTCATCCTTTGGGTGATGTGTGCAAGGGCGTGCTTTTGCCTGTCTCTCCTTACTCATTTCTGGGAAGGTTTCTCACCTGCAAGGGATCAAGGGTCCATGTGCCCTACCATTGAGTGATATGAAGTCCAGAAAAAGGAAAACAAAGCAAAAGTATGGAGGGAGGAGAGAGGGCAGCACCTCTGAGGATTTGCTGTAGTTAAGTTTTCAAGAATAAAGAATACGTAGAGGGGATCCTTCCTTTCCAAATATATGTGCTTTTGGCTTGAATTGTTACAAGACCCAAACTGGGGTTTGCCTGGTCTCCTCCCAAAAGGCAAGGGGTGTCTGTCTGTCTCCTTGGATGCAAAGACCTGTCTCACTGGCTCCTCCCAGAGGTAGATTTATAACCAGGTGTGGAGCAAGCATTTGGAGGATATGTTATTTGGTCAGAAGCAGTTTTATGGAATCTTGTGATAGTGAGGCATTCTTACGTCCAGGGATGGTGATGTTGCAGAAGCATGATGGGCAGAGGAGGCAATTTTGTATCCAGGAGATGTGTCTGTTCTACCTGAGACACATCTCCCCAACCCCAACCATGACTGCAAGGTCCAGTGTAATCAACCTGCCACCAGGTTGAACCCCTGAGGAAGGTGCCATACTGGAGGCTCAGCGTTGGTCTTCTCCGCAGGTCAGGCATGCTGCAGTAGTTTTGGCAATTGTCACCACCAGACTATTAACAGAGGGTACTTCTGGGTAACAGGATGACAAATCATTGTTGCTGCCTTTTTGCTGCTTTGTATTTCATAATAACTATGAGGCACTTCTTGTGCAACAAATAATAAAAGCAAATTTAAACATGGTCCAAGACAGTCATTTAATGTGTTTTGGGGAACAGGGTGGGGGGGCAGGGCCCCTGTTAACTTGTGCCCATGAACCTGAGATTCTGTCCTGCTCCTTTGATTACAGAAATCGTCCCTGGAGCATCATCTCTCGGCAAGCACGTTTCTGTTCATCTCATCCCTGGAGGCTTACACCCCCGGGGAAGCAGGATGTACAGAGAAAAGAACTCAGGCTCAGAGAAAGTCTTTTGGCTTCTCTCTCCTTACTCATTCCCAGGAAGGCTCCCCACCTGCAGGAGAGAAGGAGTTCATCAGAGACGAAGACCAGTGAAAGGGGAAACAAATCAAAGGCATAGGGGAGGGGCGTCAGGTGGCAAATCTGAAGACTAGGAATTGGTTGGGTTTTCAAGGTCGCACACTGAGGTTGTGCAGAGCTGGAATGGAAACCAGCAGTGGAATGCCCTGTTGTTTGTACCAGGGCCCCCAGTCTGGCCCTGATGGATACTGTGTTCCTGAACTCTGTCATGGTACCAACACCCTGTTGGTACCTGAGGTTCTTGGGGACTTTAAGCCTCAAAGAAGATTCCTTTCAATGGAATATAGGACATTTGATTTCCTTTAGCTGGAATCTGTGCTACGGAGTGTTGCGATTACACAGTCCCCCAAATGGCACTGAGAATGCCTCCCGTTTTTCGTGACATTTCCAAGCCTCCTATCTGAACAACACTCTGCATTGGATTATAAAACCATTAAGCAAATCAATTTCCAAACTACATGGCAGTTTCCCTATCATTGGATTTAACTGGATCAGAGGGTTGATTTATATTGACTTTACCTCACGTTTTATGGGAGGCATGAACATAGCCCCTACACTTGATCTTAAAACATTAATATTTGATAGTCTGCAGCTCTCATCAAAATAGAAGTCTCCTCACATGCCGGAGGATCCAAACTGTTATTCTGAAAATCTGAACTTTTGATTAATTGCCCAGTAATGATGTCTTCTTTCTATGGGGTCCTCGACTAGTCTCCTTTGATGCTTATCTGGTGAGTCTTTTTATTTTAAATTCTGTCAAAATGTTTTTGTTTTGTTTTGTTTTTTTGTCACCATGTTACTTGAGTTGCAATGGGTACTAAGACTTTCCAAGAATAAAGATTTTCACAATGGTAAAAAACAAAACCAAATCCCATATGCAAACATACAGCCAATATTTCATTGTGAGCCAAGCATTGTTCTGGGGCTTTACATTCTGCCTTCACTTATTGGTCATTCATTCATGAATAGGTATTGAGAGCCTACTAAACAGCAAGCATCCTTCTAGGCTTCAGGGATAGAACCCTGAGACCCCGCTCTTGCTTAGTGAGATAGTAGTAAACAAAACGCAGCTTGGATCATTTTAGGCAGTGATAAAGGTAACCAATAAATAAAACAGGAAGGGATTGAGGGCGACTTTAGAAAAGGGGCTCAAACAAGAAGGATGGAATTGTTCCTTAGTCAGTTGGGATAGGAATGCAATGGAAAGCTCAGGAACCTGCGCTGGTGTGCTGGGGGTGGAGGGTGAACAGATGTTCAGAAGCATGCTTGGTGGGGGGGGGGGGGGGCGGGAGTTGCAGCTTCCATTTGGAGCTTCTCTCACCTAGGCTAGTCCCTTCCTCTGCACTCTTTCTCGTTTCCAGTGTTTGCACTGACCGGTTACTTACCAGCCTCCAACTAACTCACTGCTGAGCATCATTCTCTTCATGAACATCTGTGGGGGTCCTACTGTGCGTGCAGTCACATGTCCATAAACCAGTTCATGCAATGTTCACAAAGTGAAACCCGCAGCCCCCTGATGGATGAATAATCTCTCTCAGTCAGGTTGTAGCTCTTATTCTATATTAAGGTCCCATATTAGAGTCACTCTCTGGACAAACTATTCTGTAGCTTTAAGCGGTTTATTTTTGTGCCTATACAACACTGTTTAATGATTTCAGCCTGGGTACAGTTTAACTCCTTTCTCAAAACTATCCTTATTGGTTGAGATTTCTGAGGTTCTCCCCTCTGGCATTCATTCATACAGATACTCCTCCTTCCTCCCCATTCCCACACTCACACTTCCTTCTCTTCTCCCCACCCCCCCTCACCTCCCGCTTCTTTCTCTCCATGCCTTTCCCCTCCCCCATCCCACCTCCCCTCTCCTCCCGTCTCCTCCCCTTCTCTCATTCTCCTTGGCCAACTCCTTCAGGCAATACAGAGCTGGCATTCCTTTGCAGGCCTTCTGGTGGCTCACACACTAGGGATGGATCCTTGACTTGGCCTTGCTCGTAGACCCTCCCCTCTGCCCAAGACAAGCCTGGAGAGAGTGGGAAGTGAAGGAGGCTCCAGGTACCAGGGGACAGCAGGATCTCTGTAATGGTGGTGGCCATGTGGGAGGGAGCTGAGAGGTTCAAAGCAGGGGACCCTCACCGCCCTCTGCCAGTGATTTAATGTGATCTAGTCCCTACCTAACAGTGGCCTCCCCTTCTTCTGCCCTCCTCTGACTCAGTGCGTTCAAGCCATATTTCACATTTGAGCTTGCTGTTCTGCTGCCTGGAATGCTCTTCCTGACATTTACATAGTTGCCCCAGCTTGTCACTTTGGTCTCACCCCAAAATGTCACCTTCACAAAGAGGCCTTCCAGGACCAGCCAATGTAAAGAAATTCCCCACTTCTAGCACATTTTCTAGCTATTTTGTTTCCTCAAAGCATCCACCAATCTTGGCAATTACACTATTTGTTTGTTTTCCATTACTGTCTTCCATCTTTCCAGAATACAAGTTTTATGAGTGCAGGGATCTTGTATGCCCAGGTCCGAAAACACTGCCCCTCTCAGTAGAAGCTCACTCACTTGAGGTTTAGTAATTGAATGAATGAACAGAGACTCAGGCAAGAGAGGGAATGACTTGCTAGAGCCCAGGTTAAGAGCCAAGCCAATTCTGGGAGTTCTTTCTCTTTCTTCAAACCTCTGTTCGCCTGAGCCGGCAAGGGCCAAGGGCCAAGGGCCAAGGGAGGTGAGGGCTGCTCTATCCACCATGAACCAGAAACCAAACAGGGAGCCACCCAGAGTGTGTGGGCTCACGGCGCGCTGGGCCTTGGCCAACCCAGCAACTTGGATTTTACTTCCAAAGCCAAGAAGCAGGGTTGGGAGGTGACCAGAGAACATAAAGCTGCAGCGGTCAGGCCAATGCCGAAGGTCGACAGAAGAACCCCCCCAACCCCGCCTCGGTCCCTCCCCGCCTTCCCCCCCTTTGTCCCCACGCCCAGCCCGGGGAAAGCCCTAACACCCACAGGGGCGAGGGCAGCCCCGCTTGGCGGCCTCAGAGCAGGCCACCCGCGAGGCGCGCGGGGTGGGGGGCGGCGAGGGGGGCGGGGCGCTGCGGGGGCTTCCCGCCGCGACGGGGCGGGACAATGGGGCCCCACCCCGGCGAGGGAGCGGGGCGGCGGCGTGCGCTCGGCCCGCCGCGCGCTGGCTCGCCGCGGCTGCTGCGGGGCTGAGGCTGGAGCGGGCGGGGAGGGGCGCGGGGCGGGGGGGAGAGCGGAGGAGGGCGGAGGCGGCGGCGGCGCGTGTGGCTTGCGGGCGGGCGGGCGGGCGGTTGGCACCGGGCTTGTAAATAAACTGCGATGCTGTCTCGGGCTCGCCGGCCCGGGTGCCGCCGCCGCCGCCGCCGCCCCGGAGCCCCGGTGCCAGGCTCCCGCCGCCGCGCGCCCTAGCGCCTCCGCGCCAGCCTCGCGCGCCCTCGCCCGCTCCCCGCAGCCCCCGGCCCGCGCCCCTCGGGGTCCCGCGGCTGACCCGCGCGGGATGTGACCCCTTCCCGCTGCCCGGCCTCCCCTGCCCCCCGGGGGGCCCGCCTTTGCTTGCTTTTGGGGGGGTGGGGAGCGGCGCGCGGATCATGGCATTGGAGTTCCCGGGCTTGCAGCCGCCGCCGCCGCCCCATCCACGCACCCCGAGCGCCCCTTCTTCCCCGAGCAGCAGCGGAGAAGGCGAAGCGGCCGGCGGGGGCGAGGCAGATGGGGCTCAAGGCGCGCAGGGCGGCGGGGGCGGCTGGCGGCGGCGGCGACGGGGGCGGCGGCGGCGGGGCCGCTAACCCGGCCGGAGGGGACGCGGCGGCGGCCGGCGACGAGGAGCGGAAAGTGGGGCTGGCGCCGGGCGACGTGGAGCAAGTCACCTTGGCGCTCGGGGCCGGAGCTGACAAAGACGGGACTCTGCTGCTGGAGGGCGGCGGCCGCGACGAGGGGCTGCGGAGGACCCCGCAGGGCATCGGGCTCCTGGCCAAGACCCCCCTGAGCCGCCCTGTGAAGAGGAACAACGCCAAGTACCGGCGCATCCAAACTTTGATCTACGACGCCCTCGAGAGACCGCGGGGCTGGGCGCTGCTCTACCACGCGCTCGTGTGAGTACCCAGCCGCTCGGCGGCGCAGGTTGGGGCTCGGGTGCGGGCTGGAGCCAGGACGGCTGTGGGGCCTTAAAGCCCAGGGGCGCCGGTGGGCTGAGGAGGAGACCAGTCTGTCCTCCGTGTTCCTCCGCTGTGTGTGTCCGTGTGTCTGTGAGCCACTCTCTGGCTGTTGGACACCAGGGCTTCAAAGACCCAAGCGTGGTTCCCCAGCTAATCTGGAGATTGGATTGGCGTGTTTGTGCGCGCGCGGGTGCGCATTTATGGCACCTTCTCCGGATGTTGGTATTGAAGCTTAAAAGAATGATGTGGTTTTTCCAATTAACGTGGAGGATGAACAGGATAAAGCGGATCCCTCCCATACGCTCTGTGTTTCTGCTTGGGGTGGGTCCCTTCTCCTGGGATCGCTACTGAGTTTAGATGATGCGTCCTGGAGTTAGGGATGGGAGTGGTACACTGCCCATAGTGGTGTGTGTGTGTGTGTGTGTGTGTGTGCGCGCGCGCGCGTATGTGCACGAGCGCGCGCATGAGCGCGGGTATCAGTAGCTTGCTTGTGCTACCCTTCTTAGGGCTCCATCCTGATATAGAACCTGGTGTCGCCCTAGTTGGGGGCTTGGACTGGTCAAAATGTGCATCTTTGGATTATTTTTATGGAAGTTAATGAGCAGGAGAGAGAATATAAGAGAATGAGAATATCTCAGGCTCCAACCTAGACAGAGGAGCTGGGGCTTAACAGTGCCAGATCAGGTCCGGGGCTTATTTTGGCTGAGGTACCTCCATGATTTGGTCCTGATATCCCCTCAACATCAACTGCTGTCCCCTTCTCTCACTTTGGCTGGACAAGGGTGCGGGCCATGTGATGGGGCTTGGACTGGAGGTTTGACCCCAGGCACCCTTCCCCTAGAAAGCATCTCCTTGCTAGTCAGGATGAACATGCACTGCCAGGGAAGGAAGACGGAACTCCGTTCTGCACTGACACTCGGGACAGGAAATCTTCTTGCACTTGAGGGAGTGGGGGGGAGGATGGTAGTGGTGACTTCTCACCTAGGAGACAAAATCAGAGCTGTCAGCCTACACCCCAGGGCCGGCAGGGCATCTCCAGTTGCCCCTTGCCTCCTGTCTGGGGCTTAGTCATTCTGATGGCTGCTTCTTGGGAAGCTGTACGTTATCAGGGTTTGGGCGGGGAATTGGCCATAACTTTGGCCCTTCTTGTGCGTTTAGTAGTGGATATTCCTCTGTGTCCTCCTCCAACTGACCACGACTGTTGTGGTCCCAGGGAGTTCAGGGAGCCTTGGAGTTGCTACCTGCCAATCATCTTTGGTTGCAATGGCTTTTCCAGGTTTGGCCACCAGGTGGGGGCGTCTGCCCAGGACCTCAGACTTGGCAACAGGTTTCTTCTGAGAGGTTGCAGAAGCCTGGAAAGGGTGCCTCCCTGAAGCTGAGGAACTGGCAGGAAGGAGGGGGCATCCAGCCAGGAACATGGATTCCTGATGGTCCAGCCTCTGGCATCCACTTCCTCCTGAATTTGCAGGTGTTCGTGGCTGGAGAGAAGGCCTAGCAAGGGTTACTCTTCCATTTGCTTTCTTCAGGTGGTAAAAAGGGATGAAAAATATATTCATCTCTGTTTCTAGCACTGTGTTTAGTTCAACTGAACTGAAGGGGGTTCAGTTAAATTAAGTGTTTAGTTAAATTGAAACTGGAATGTGATAGTAAAAAAAAGCTCGGATCTGAGTGCACCCATACATAAAGAGACTCAACATGTCCTTTTGCATGTAAATGGCATTCACTATTTATTGGCTGACTTCCAAACCTGGGGTTTCACTGAAGTTTGTGGGGTCCCTCTTTCTTCACCTCCCGCCATTCCCAGACAACACCCCTGCCCTGCCTGCCTTACCCCTGGGGGAGGGATAGCTAAGGCCTGTTGTTGACGGAGCCTCGATTTTATCCTTCTTTCGAATTATTCCATCACGCAGAAGCAGGTTTGAGAATGCCCAAACCTGTAGCCTTGTTTCCCAGAGAGGACCAGGAAAATCTGAGAGCGTGGCATAAGGAAGAGGTGAAGACCTAGCCAGATGCTTCAGACATGCAAATCATTTATTTCATTGAACTCTCTCCAGGATTTTATGAGGTGGGAATTACTGTCTACATATTAGAGATGAGAGTAAGAAAACTTCAGTGAAACCCCTTGTCCAAGATCACACAGCTGCTGTTCTGGCTGCTCACATCTGAATGCAGTGGGTCAACTGTGTTTCTGAGCTGGATCCCAGTTCTGACCCTCTGCCAACAGTTGCAGGGCTCTGAGTATTTCACTGGGCATCACTGGGTACCCCTTGCCCATTGATAACACAGGGCTCGTAAGAACACCTCCGCCTTCACTTGCTAGCTCACAGCTGTTAATGGCTAGAAATGGGGTTTGGAAACAAAACAGGGGCTAGTCGGAACCCAGGGAAGCACGGTGTTCAGGAAATGCGGAGTGGGCTAAGGCGGTGGTGGGATTGCAGGTTCTGACTCATTGGGAATTATACAGGAAAGCATGCTGGGCTGGGTGTGAGCTCCTAATACTGAAGCATACCCAGTCAGTGGATACACTGTGCATCCCCCCCCCAGCTTAGCAGGAAGTGCAGTCAAGTGAACAAATTGAACTTTTCATTGATGATTCAGGATTTTGCAAGGCACTGTAATTCGTGCTTCGAAGCGTCCGTTATCCTGTTCTGGGCTGTAGCTAATGGCATAAGGGGGCTGGGAAATTGGGCTGACCTTGGGCTCACAATCTAGTGCATACTTTTATTTTATCTTTTTAATGAATCGGACCCATGAGATGCGATTCCCATCCCCCCCACTGCTCCTGTCCTGAAGGTAGAATACAGCAAATGTGGAGACCAAAGACCCCCACCCTACCTAACCCTGCTCCCTTTGCCTTAAATGCTCATCCCTATTTTTTCCTGGCTACTCACTTTCACCTTGGCCCAGCTCTGATGTGGCTTCCTCTGGGAAGCTTTTCTCTGACCCCACCACCCCCTCCCCAGGTTGAGTTAGAATTGCCCTCCTCTGCAATGTCCCTAGCTGTAGGATTTTGCACATTACATTAGATTGATCTGTTTGCTCATCTCTGCCATTGAACCAAGAGCTACTTGGGAATAGGGCCATGGTGTTCTTTGGCGTTCTGTTTCTGGCAGGCTGTGGGGTCCGTGGTGGTTACTGGATAAGCACTGATTGACTGGGTGAGTGAAAGAATACTCTCAGCTCACTGAGACTTCGCTGTGAATGGTTTTAATGTTATCACCACCATCACCACCACAAGTAGGTACAGTCAGCATTATAGGATTTTAGTGAAAAGAATAGCTGGCAGAAGTCTTAAAATGGACTAAGGGGGGGTGCCTGGGTGGCTCAGTTGGTTAGGCGACTGCCTTCGGCTCAGGTCATGATCCTGGAGTCCCGGGATCGAGTCCCGCATCGGGCTCCCTGCTCGGCAGGGAGTCTGCTTCTCCCTCTGACCCTCCTCCCTCTCATGCTCTCTGTCTCTCATTCTCTCTCTCGCAAATAAATAAATAAAATCTTTAAAAAAAAAAGGACTAAGGGGAGGAGGGGACAGGGTGGGAGACCATGCTTTGACCCCAGTGAGCCTGATCCCTTCTCTGCTTCCTGAGCCTGAAAAGGATCCTGCTGTTGTGGAGAAAGTGCTGGATTTGGAGCTCCTCCCATCTGGACCACCTGAGGTCTCTGTGATTTTGCATGGCCTGGAGGTTGGGATTGGCCCCTGTCACAGGGTGGTGTTCAGGTTTCAAGTGTATGAATGAAATTAGCCCAACACCAGGCACTGAATATTCATTAGTTGATTCTGAATAGGGGTCTCCTTAAAAGCACATACCACTGTCGTGCTCTGACATTGTCCTGGGACTCCCCTTCCTTAGCCTGTCAGCAGAGAGATGCTGGCTTCTTCTTGGTGCTATTGTTGGATGGACTCTCTGCACAAACCTTCTGCTCCTCTCACCACCTCCCTGCAGCCATCACTCACTCACCTGTTGACGGACCAAGGGGACATGGTCACAGGAAGTACCTCCCGTTTGCATTCAGAGGTGGGCTGGCCCCTGGGGACCAGGTTGGGGGAGGTGGCAGGCAAAGCTGAGAGGTGGGGCACAAGGACCCAGCAGCTGCTCTGGAATGTAAGGGCTTGGCTGGTGGTCTTAGCCTATTGACTGGAAGATCTACAGTCCCTTTTTTTAGAGGCTGATCAGTATTCCATGTTCTTTCTCCATTCATCTGTTGATGGACATGTAGCTCATTTGTACATCTTGGCTATTATGAATAGTGTTTCAGTGAACCTGGAAGTGCTAATATCTCTGAGATCCCAATTTCAATTCTTTTGGATCCATATTCAAAGGTGAGATGGCTGCATCATATGGTAGCTCTATTTTTAATTTTTGAGGAACCTCCATATTGTTTTCCATTGTTTCCCCCATTCCAATGTTTCCACCATTTTGCATTCCCGTCCACGGCGTGCAAGGTTTGCAGTTTCTCCCCATCCTCACCAACACTGTTTCTCTTGGTTTTGATTTTGTTTCCGTTTTTGTCTTTTTTTTTTTTTTTTTTTTGATAATAGCTCTCCTGACAGGTGTGAGGTGCGGTATCATTGTGACAATCTTTATTCAGCTGTAAGAGCATGGTCTTTGGAGTAAGACCCAGGTTTAATCCAATCTGCTCTTTTCTGGCTGTGTGACCTGGAGTAATTTGCTCACTTTCCTGGATTTCAGTTTCTTTATTTCTTTTTTTTTTTTTAAAGATTTATTTATTTATTTGAGAGAGCGAGAATGAGAGAGAGTACATGAGAGGGGGGAGGGTCAGAGGGAGAAGCAGGCTCCTCGCTGAGCAGGGAGCCCGATGCGGGACTTGATCCCAGGACTCCAGGATCATGACCTGAGCCGAAGGCAGTTGCTTAACCAACTGAGCCACCCAGGCGCCCCCTCAGTTTCTTTATTTCTGATATGGAGATAGTCAGGCCT